CTTGGTGGTGAACGTGGCTTGTCAGGAAAATATATGAGCACGCAAAGAAACACAAAAGCTGTAACTCCAAATTCAAGGTACATAAAGTTCATGATTTGATGCTTGTATTCAGCTATCTGTGAGGCATTTAGTGACTTTCTAAGTTTATCGTAGTCTATTTTTTCTGAAGTCCTATTGGTAAGCTTCCCGACATCATCGACAAGCAAAGGCCCAATGAGAAATGATAAAGCAGTTCCACTGTAGCATGCTAATGATGAAATTGCAGTTGCTGTTGTGCGCTGCGATGGTGGGAACCATGCTGCTGATACGAGGGGAGGTGCTGCCATGGCAACTGGTCCACCTATTCCAGTAACAAACTGCCCAATGTGAATTAGTAGGGTCTGAGATTTGTTATCCAATGAGAAGCACCTTAGCGCAGTGCCAATCAACTCTAAGAAGGCAGCGAGGAGTACAGACACTCTTAGACCTAGAATTAGAATAGGATAAAAGTTGTGAATGGGTGGTGAGATTCACTTTTTATTATTTAGTTAATTTTTGTTTGTAATAGTTTTAATTGTTTATTGATATTTTGTATCCTATGTATCAATTGGTATAGAAAGGATTAAAGTTATTATTATTATTATTATACTTTATTGCATCTCTACACATCATAAACAAACGAATGAATTAATAAAAAGGATTAAAGTTATTATTATACTTTATTGCGTCTCTACACATTATAAACAAACAAATGAATTAATAAAATAATAAAAAAATAAAATAATGTTTCAAGTGTTCCTGTCCTTTGCCTAAGGAAATTGTTCTTTTTACAGCAGCAGCTTTTTACCATCCTCGGGAACCTAGGGATAATCTTCTTTTGTTTGTTCCTCACTCCCAGAAAAAATACCCCTGGCCATGAAGTCTGTTAGACCTTGTTCTCGATTCGAAATTCAAAATGGCGGCCAGTAAATTTCTGATTTGTCGAGTGATTCACTCGAACATTCTGATTGGTTGATTAACTTACTGGCCGCCATTTTGAATTTCGAAACGAGAACAAGGTCTAACAGACTTCGTGCCCAGGGGTATTTTTGCTGGGAGTGAGGATCAAACGACAGAAGATTACCCCTGGGTTCCTGAGGATGTTTTTTACAAGCAGAGTCCAAAAGGTGAGAAAGCTGTCTATCACTGATATTTCAAATGATCAAATTTCACTCACACATATTATTTTACACCATAAAAGTCAGAGTAAAGCACTTATGAAACAAAATTTGACTTTTAAAATGTCAGATAAAGTCTAATTCTTGGTAAGCAACCATGTGATCAAGAATCCCCTGAGAAATAAAGAACATGTTGGATGAATGAACAAGAGAAACTAATGAGGAATGCTTTGTAATTTTCATCCAACATGGCTGCAATGACATAACTTGCATGCCACGAATAGACACAAGAAAGAAAACAATGCAATAGAAAACAATACTAAGGTGTATTAGTGTAATATCTATTTAACTGCGTTCTTTTGACTTCACTCTTCAAGAAGCTGAACAATGGAAAAACATAGAATTAAAGTATAATTAAGAAGTAAGAAGAGAATTAAGAAGTACTTAGTGACACTTTTAATCCCAACAAATTTTCCCTGGAGCAGTGTCAGGGTTTAATTCCGGAATTATTGATACTGGGTAAAAATTTACGGGGTAAAAATTCAGTCTACGCGCAAGCTAGTGCTGGATTAAAGATTTTTCTCTGGAACAGGGTACAGTTTTCAGCAATTTCACTCTGGAACAGGGTACAGTTTTCAGCGATTTCACTCTGGAACAGGGTATAGTTTTCAGCGATTTTACTCTGGAACAGGGTATAGTTTTCAGCAATTTCACTCTGGAACAGGGTATAGTTTTCAGCAATTTCACTCTGGAACAGGGCATAGTTTTCAGCGATTTTACTCTGGAACAGGATATAGTTTTCAGCGATTTTACTCTGTAACAGGGTACAGTTTTCAGCGATTTTACTCTGGAACAGGATATCGTTTTCAGCGATTTTACTCTGGAACAGGGTATAGTTTTCAGCGATTTTACTCTGGAACAGGGTATAGTTTTCAGCAATTTCACTCTGGAACAGGGTATAGTTTTCAGCAATTTCACTCTGGAACAGGGCATAGTTTTCAGCGATTTTACTCTGGAACAGGATATAGTTTTCAGCGATTTTACTCTGTAACAGGGTACAGTTTTCAGCGATTTTACTCTGGAACAGGATATCGTTTTCAGCGATTTTACTCTGGAACAGGGTATAGTTTTCAGCGATTTTACTCTGGAACAGGGTATAGTTTTCAGCGATTATACTCTGGAACAGGGTATAGTTTTCAGCAATTTCACTCTGGAACAGGGTCAGGGTTTTGAGGTCCCAGAGGCACACCCCCACCCAAGTTGCGGGGGAATGCCCCCCACCCCCCGGGAATCCCCCGCCCCGGGAATGCATCGTAGTGCATCATAACGAAACTAAGATATTAGTCTCTGAAAATTCCTGTATTCATTGAGAAAACAAACCTTTAACATCCATCAACCAGGATAATGGTAAAGTAGCAACTACATATGACGCAGAACCCCAGTCAACTAATAAAACTATGTCAGTATTGCTCCACTGGAATACCACTTTCGATGTTGCTTGGATTGGAGTCCAACACGTCAAAATTACATTATATAACGAAGCAACGAAAGAGAAAATCAATAAAATATACCATCGACGCTTGTATACTTTAGACTGCTCTTGTACTACAGAGCCTT